TCAGAGTAGGAGTGTACCTGGATCACAGAGCAGGTGTTCTGTCCTTCTACAGCGTCTCTGAAACCATGACTCTCCTCCACAGAGTCCAGACCACAGTTCACTCAGCCTCTCTATGCTGGAGTTTGGGTTTCCTCTTATGGAGACACAGCTGAGTTGTGTAAACTCAAATAGACAAAGGTCATTTAAGTTGCATTCGGTTTAAAAATGAACTTTTGTTCATCAGTTTATTTTGTCTCCATCATTGTTGCTAAAAGCTCATAGCTCTTGTGTCTGCACTGCAATCTATAATTACATTATAATTTATGTGTTTGTCAGATCAAATGTGTTGTTGTTCAAATCAACTTACAGATAAGGTCTATGAGGTTTTATAAAAACTGTAATTATCATGATAATAATCAATGAGGAGATGATTCATTATTTTCTTTTCCACATCTGAGATTCAGGTGAAACAAACTGATTGTGTGGATGAAGTGAATCTGTTCATGAAATCACTGAACAAGAGTCATTTAACAGACTTTACTGATTCAGTGTGTGAACAATTGAAGCTTCACATCATGAATAAAACAGTTTTTTCCTAAAGAATAAATCAAATACTTTCTTGTCTTCCATCTTTCCCTCGTGACCTGAATGCAGCATCAGTGTTACAGAGTGTGACCGCTGTGTGAAGTGTGATATTACATGTATCTAAAGTGTCTTTTACTGATGTTGTTTAAAGCTGCCAAGGCTGAGTGAAGTTTTTACTCGTCTTCCTGCAGTGAACATCACAGCAGGTGAACAACTGAAATCTGAAAACTGATGCACACAACACAGAGGGCGCCTTCATCCACCTGACCAGGGATGTAGTGGAGGGTTAAAGCTCCTAGCTCACTTTTGTTCACATGTTTCAGACCATGTTTTTTAAGCTGATGAGAAACTTTAGTAATTATTAGTACGTAGTGATTCAGATATGATCCACGCTAATATAACTGTGTCACATCCAGCAGAAAAATGAAGTGAGTGAACTTGGTAATGAGTTTTCACATTAAAAAAACAATGAATTCAAACACTCATCCAATATCTGTCACTCTATTTGAAGAAAAAAAAGGTAACAGATAAAATATTATTCTAACAACAGAGAAGAGTTTGAGAACTGACAGGATGACAGGACTACAAAGATAATGGAGTAAGTATGATTGACAAAGATACATTACTCAAATAAAAAAAAAAAGAAAAGAAAACCTTGTTGTTAGTCCATGACACGGTTGTAATTTAGAGTTGCAATTTAACGCTGTGGTTTCACGCAGATTTTATATGAATGAAATGCACTTATTCAGCAGTGAAATCTTTAAATTAAAACAGGTACACATCATCTCAGTATTACTGTTGAACTTTACCCTTTTAAACATACCACCCATGTTCAGCAGGACAGTGGTGTGTGGTGACTTTTACAGATAGGCAAGCAGGCAAACATACCTTTTCAAGACAGTAGTAGCAGCAAGTCTCTTGTAAATTCAGAGCCTGTTCTGTCTCATGATTTTGTCCTGCCTGTCTCTCCTATGCTGAAGGTCTCTCTCCTGCATCTTGCTACTCTCTGCCTGGACATCTTCACTTTTCAACTTCCTGGCTGAAGAAGTTTTAGGAATATTCTTCTGAACTGACACTAAACATGTGTGAAACTTTGAAATTTGATTGGACGAGAGGCATTCGATGAGTGCTGATATAGAGTATAACAGCACTGGGACTTTTAACTACATGTGTCACTCTGCTTTACAGGTGTTCTATTAACCATTTAATCAGCACAACAGTAACAGTCGTTATCTATGTTAGATTGTAACAAACATTTGAATTAAATGATTATATTGGGAGGCAGAGGAGGATGAAGGGAAGAAGCCTGGATACTTCAGCGCACACCCGAGGTAACATGTAGACAAAGTAGCAAGCTAGTGTGCAATGTGCAGGTCAGATAAATGTTTGTGTTGCTTAGCAACAGTCCAGTACCAGTCTAGTTGCAACATCTATTTGTGCTGGCGTTGCCAAAATAATGATTAAATTAAAAACAATTCATAATCTGTTGTTGCTTATTTAACTAATATGGCGCTTGCAGAACTGTTGTATAAAAGCAATATCACACTCCAGTCGTGTTTGTACTGGGTACGACATCATAGGTACCTATGACTGAATCACAGCCGTGCTGATATACAGTACATCACTCCCTCTGGTTTGATGTTGCTTAATTAACTGACAAGTGACACACTCAATGTAGAATCCTGTAGCCTTTCCAGCCTCAGTGTTGCTAACCTTTCCGCTCATAGCCTGGACTGTAGTTGGAGGGCACAGGGGAGAGGCGGGGGCTTCAGTCTTGAGGAGCTGTAACTGTAGTTGTAGCTGTAGCTGTAGTTATGGTAAAAACAGCTATTGCACATTTGTCACACTGCTACATTCACAGCTATACTGCTAATTGCTAACTAACTAGCTAACTAGCGGTCACCAGCCTCACCGCTCTCTCTCTCCTCTCTCTCTCTCTTCTCTCTCTTCTCTCTGCTACGCCACACCGCCTTCGTACTGAGCTATTCCTGAAAGGAGCTGTGGTACTCTTGTAACAATATTCTGTCTCAAACAAATTTACAGCATATCTTGCACAGAGATGATAAATCAGTATAAATTGCTCTTGTCCTGCTACTTGTATGTTGCTTCTTAACATTTAATTTGTTTAGTATCCACACACGTCTGCGGCATGCGTGCAATATCATCTGACAAGCACACTTTGGCTATTCCTCCTCACCCATCAAAAGATCCCAGGATTATCCGCATCAGAACTTTACTATCATTCTGATTGATTGGTCTGTTTTTAGCTTTAACTGGGCGAGCACTGCTTGCCTCGCTTGACCTGACGGCACGCCATAGCACCAGGTGAAATACACCACTATGACTGTATTTGTTTTCAGTTTCCAGAGAGAAAAGCTAGTTATCTCATTCATGTATATTCATAATTTCAGGACAAGTAATTATATTTTATTCCATGTAGCAACTTTTATTGGCCCTGACTTGACACACACAGTATGGGGCAAACTTTTTTTTACTGTTAATCTGAAAATACCATGGAGAAATGTACAACATGGCTTTTATCATTCGTTGAAAACAATATAAAATCACTTCCTTTGGTGACTTACCAAAAAACTAAAAATGGTCTAATCTATTACTTTTATCCCCTCCAGTGAATTGTAGCTCCAGGTACATGCTGTGACAAAACACCTTAACATTAAAGCAACAATTCTAGCTTTATTATTATCTCTTTGTTTATCAGGCTTCTTGAGTTAATATCTTTTAATATTTCATTTATACTTTTTCATCATTTCAGAAACCACAATGCTGGCAACAAGAGTCAAGACTACAAAAAAAGATTTACAAATCTTCCTGTTTTCTATTAAAGCACATAAGCTAGCCTATCTTATGTGTTTGTCTGTAGGGGTTTTATTTTGAAATGGACCACATTAACATATAAGACGGGCATGTTGCAAAAATAAAATAAAAAAATGTTAGGAAACAAAACAGAAACCTCTATATTTTGAAAACAGAACTACTGATGTTTTACACGTTTTCTTATAAATAACATTGTTTTATGATTGTCTAATGCACAGGTTATAAAATTTACATTCGAATTACCTTTGTGATTGTTGTTGTAAACAAGTATTACATAAACACATAATTTTCAGCTTGAATCCACTTACAGTTCACTTTGCATTTATTTCTCCAAAACTCCATACTGTAATTTTCAGACGTTTATTTTTGGAACTCCACACGGATGTACCATGTCTAACTGCTATTCACTGTTTAGAGCTCGAGCCTCCAGGAGAAGCAGCAGCAGCAGCAGCAGTAGAAACGCCCTGCATCCTCTCTCCTCTTCTCCTACATCCATCCACCTTCCGGCCTTCCTCTGCTCCTCCAGCCGCGGAGGAGCCACTCTGAACGGAAAGAGGACGAACCAAAGGAGAAATGGCCTTTTAACACTTTGAGAGAATAACCCAGAAGAGACATGAAACCCTTGCCTTTTTCCTTCCTCCAACACCTCCTCCTCCTGCTCCTGGCTTCCTGAGCTGCTCCCCCGCTTCTGCTGACAGAAGATTCTCTGGAGTACATTAACGGATGATTATTTTCTTAATGATAACGTGACCGTAGCTTGGCGTCTCCGTCCTCCTCAGAGCCATTTTGCAGAACAGCCGTGGAGGCATATTTGTTGCCTGATCTGTGTCAATATTGTATCAGCGGAGCTGCCAGCAACCGGCAGGCTGGTTCGCTGCAGCTTCACCTGAGCCGAGGAAAAACAAACACTGTGATCCTGCAAATAACGTTTCAGGGGTAAACTGCAAATGTACAAAACTCACAGGATTATTATCAGAACAGCATAAAGTCACTGCTGTGCAGTAAACTGCAGGATGAAGCAAATACAGGGAAATTAGCCTTTATTGTACTACGCAGGCCTACATCTGCCATCCAGGACTATTTGTAACAAAAATGTAAGTGTTAAAAAATATATTAAATTTAAAATACAAAAATAATTAATATAATTGAATAATTTAAAAAATATTTTAAATTCTGTGAATGATTCGTAGAACGTAATATATAAACATTGCATAATTGAAAACATATACAATAAAATAAATTAAATATAGGCCACAAAATAATAGAAATGACGTGGTAACAGGGTCTTGAAGCCTAGATTTGAACTTACAATAAGGAAAATTATAGTGAAAATAGTATAAAATTCAAAATATTTGAAATAATTCAGGAATGCCATAATTTCAATACAATAAAATAAAAAATATATACAAAGTGATATTTTCAAAACAAATTGATAAACTAAAATACAAACAAAAAAAGTTTAAATAAAAAATAATTTAGTATATTAGCTATTTAAAATATTAACAATAATATATATTAAACTAAAAATATATAAGAAAAATATACATTTAATGGATATACAAATTAAATTACAAAAAATAAAATGTACACAGTAGCATAATACTAGCTGAAATACTAATTTAAAAACTAAATACAAAATAATAAAAAGATTTTAAAAATAATTTCAAGAAAGCTAAATATAAACAAAGGTTGTACAATAAATCTTCTTTTGCCGACAGTCTAATTCTAGTCACACAGTCAGATTCACTTCATGTTTTCAGGTTATGAGTAGAGAGAGTCTGACTGGACGTTGTTACTGGGAGGTGGAGTGGAGAGGAGGAGTTCATGTAGCAGTTGCATACAAGAATATCAGCAGAGTAGGGAGTGAATCTGTATTTGGACACAATGATAAATCTTGGGCATTAAATTGTAACCAAAATGGTTATACATTCTTCTACAACAAAATCAACACTCCAGTCTCAGGTCCTCGGTCCTTCAGAGTAGGAGTGTACCTGGATCACAGAGCAGGTGTTCTGTCCTTCTACAGCGTCTCTGAAACCATGACTCTCCTCCACAGAGTCCAGACCACATTCACTCAGCCTCTCTATGCTGGAGTTTGGGTTTCCTCTTATGGAGACACAGCTGAGTTGTGTAAACTCAAATAGACAAAGGTCATTTAAGTTGCATTCGGTTTAAAAAGTGAACTTTTGTTCATCAGTTTATTTTGTCTCCATCATTGTTGCTAAAAGCTCATAGCTCTTGTGTCTGCACTGCAATCTATAATTACATGTTTATATTTATGTGTTTGTCAGATCAAATGTTGTTGTTGTTCAAATCAACTTACAGATAAGGTCTATGAGGTTTTATAAAACTGTAATTATCATGATAATAATCAATGAGGAGATGATTCATTATTTTATTTTCCATATCTGAGATTCAGGTGAAACAAACTGATTGTGTGGATGAAGTGAATCTGTTCATGAAATCACTGAACAAGAGTCATTTAACAGACTTTACTGATTCAGTGTGTGAACAAACTGAAGCTTCACATCATGAATAAAACAGTTTTTCCTAAAGAATAAATCAAATACTTTCTTGTCTTCCATCTTTCCCATGTGACCTGAATGCAGCATCAGTGTTACAGAGTGTGACCGCTGTGTGAAGTGTGATATTACATGTATCTAAATGTGTCTTTACTGATGTTGTTTAAAGCTGCCAAAGGCTGAGTGAAGTTTTTACTCGTCTTCCTGCAGTGAACATCACAGCAGGTGAACAACTGAAATCTGAAAACTGATGCACAACACAAGAGGGCGCCTTCATCCACCTGACCAGGGATGTAGTGGAGGTTAAAGCTCCTCAGCTCACTTTGTTCACATGTTTCAGACCATGTTTTTAAGCTGATGAGAAACTTTAGTAATTATTAGTACGTAGTGATTCAGATATGATCCACGCTAATATAACTGTGTCACATCCCAGCAGAAAAATGAAGTGAGTGAACTTGGTAATGAGTTTTCACATTAAAAAAACAATGGATTCAAACACTCATCCAATATCTGTCACTCTATTTGAAGAACAAAAGGTAACAGATAAAATATTATTCTAACAACAGAGAAGAGTTTGAGAACTGACAGGATGACAGGACTACAAAGATAATGGAGTAAGTATGATTGACAAAGATACATTACTCAAATAAAAAAAAAAGAAAAGAAAACCTTGTTGTTAGTCCATGACACGGTTGTAATTTAGAGTTGCAATTTAACGCTGTGGTTTCACGCAGATTTTATATGAATGAAATGCACTTATTCAGCAGTGAAATCTTTAAATTAAAACAGGTACACATCATCTCAGTATTACTGTTGAACTTTACCCTTTTAAACATACCACCCATGTTCAGCAGGACAGTGGTGTGTGGTGACCTTTACAGATAGGCAAGCAGGCAAACATACCTTTTCAAGACAGTAGTAGCAGCAAGTCTCTTGTAAATTCAGAGCCTGTTCTGTCTCATGATTTTGTCCTGCCTGTCTCTCCTATGCTGAAGGTCTCTCTCCTGCATCTTGCTACTCTCTGCCTGGACATCTTCACTTTTCAACTTCCTGGCTGAAGAAGTTTTAGGAATATTCTTCTGAACTGACACTAAACATGTGAAACTTGAAGTATAGAGGAAACATATGTATAAATCTATCAAAAATACTTACCATTATACAACACCGAGTTCCAACCAAGAAATTTGATTGGACGAGAGGCATTCGATGAGTGCTGATATAGAGTATAACAGCACTGGGACTTTTAACTACATGTGTCACTCTGCTTTACAGGTGTTCTATTAACCATTAATCAGCACAACAGTAACAGTCGTTATCTATGTTAGATTGTAACAAACATTTGAATTAAATGATATATGGGAGGCAGAGGAGGATGAAGGGAAGAAGCCTGGATACTTCAGCGCACACCCGAGGTAACATGTAGACAAAGTAGCAAGCTAGTGTGCAATGTGCAGGTCAGATAAATGTTTGTGTTGCTTAGCAACAGTCCAGTACCAGTCTAGTTGCACATCTATTTGTGCTGGCGTTGCCAAATAAGTGATTAAATTAAAAAAAACAATTCATAATCTGTTGTTGCTTATTTAACTAATATGGCGCTTGCAGAACTGTTGTATAAAAGCAATATCACACTCCAGGTCGTGTTGTTGTACTGGGTACGACATCATAGGTACCTATGACTGAATCACAGCCGTGCTGATATACAGTACATCACTCCCTCTGGTGTGATGTTGCTTAATTAACTGACAGTGACACACTCAATGTAGAATCCTATAGCCTTTCCAGCCTCAGTGTTGCTAACCTTTCCTGGCTCATAGCCTGGACTGTAGTTGGAGGGCACAGGGGAGAGGCGGGGGCTTCAGTCTTGAGGAGCTGTAACTGTAGTTGTAGCTGTAGCTGTAGTTATGGTAAAAACAGCATATTGCACATTTGTCACACTGCTACATTCACAGCTATACTGCTAATTGCTAACTAACTAGCTAACTAGCGGTCACCAGCCTCACCGCTCTCTCTCTCGCTCTCTCTCTCTCTCTCTCTCTCTCTCTCTGCTACGCACACCGCCTTCGGTGTGAGCTATTCCTGAAAGGAGCTGTGGTACTCTTGTAACAATATTCTGTCTCAAACTTCCAAATTTACAGCATATCTTGCACAGAGATGATAAATCAGTATAAATTGCTCTTGTCCTGCTACTTGTACTGTTGCTTCTTAACATTTAATTTGTTTAGTATCCACACACGTCTGCGCATGCGTGCAATATCATCTGACAAGCACACTTTGGCTATTCCTCCTCACCCATCAAAGATCCCAGGATTATCCGCATCAGAACTTTACTATCATTCTGATTGATTGGTCTGTTTTTAGCTTTAACTGGGCGAGCACTGCTTGCCTCGCTTGACCTGACGGCACGCCATAGCACCAGGTGAAATACACCACTATGACTGTATTTGTTTTCAGTTTCCAGAGAAAAGCTAGTTATTCTCATTCATGTATATTCATAATTTCAGGACAAGTAATTATATTTTATTCCATGTAGCAACTTTTATTGGCCCTGACTTGACACACACAGTATGGGGCAAACTTTTTTTTACTGTTAATCTGAAAATACCATGGAGAAATGTACAACATGGCTGTTTATCATTCGTTGAAAACAATATAAAATCACTTCCTTTTGGTGACTTACCAAAAAACTAAAATGGTCTAATCTATTACTTTTATCCCCTCCAGTGAATTGTAGCTCAGAGTACATGCTGTGACAAAACACCTTAACATTAAAGCAACAATTCTAGCTTTTATTATTATCTCTTGTTTATCAGGCTTCTTGAGTTAATATCTTTAATATTTCATTTATACTTTTCATCATTTCAGAAACCCACAATGCTGGCAACAAGAGTCAAGACTACAAAAAAAGATTTACAAATCTTCCTGTTTTCTATTAAAGCACATAAGCTAGCCTATCTTATGTGTTTGTCTGTAGGGGTTTTATTTTGAAAATGGACCACATTAAAAGGGCATGTGCAAAAATAAAATAAAAAAATGTTAGGAAACAAAACAGAAACCTCTATATTTTTGAAAACAGAACTACTGATGTTTTACACGTTTTCTTATAAATAACATTGTTTTATGATTGTCTAATGCACAGGTTATAAAATTTACATTCGAATTACCTTGTGATTGTTGTTGTAAACAAGTATTACATAAATACACATAATTTTCAGCTTGAATCCACTTACAGTTTCACTTTGCATATTATTTCTCCAAAACTCCAGATTACTGTAATTTTCAGACGTTTATTTTGGAACTCCACACCGGATGTACCATGTCTAACTGCTAATTCACTGTTTAGAGCTCGAGCCTCCAGGAGAAGCAGCAGCAGCAGCAGCAGTAGAAACGCCCTGCATCCTCTCTCCTCTTCTCCTACATCCATCCACCTTCCGGCTCTCCTCTGCTCCTCCAGCCGCGGAGGAGCCACTCTGAACGGAAAGGAGGACGAACCAAAGGAGAAATGGCCTTTTAACACTTTGAGAGAATAACCCAGAAGAGACATGAAACCTTTGCCTTTTTCCTTCCTCCAACACCTCCTCCTCCTGCTCCTGGCTTCCCTGAGCTGCTCCCCCGCTTCTGCTGACAGAAGATTCGGTGAGTACATTAACGGATGATTATTTTCTTAATGATAACGTGACCGTAGCTGCGTCTCCGGTCCTCCTCAGAGCCATTTTGCAGAACAGACCGTGGAGGCTATTTCTGTGCCTGATCTGTGTCAATATTGTATCAGCGGAGCTGCCAGCAACCGGCAGGCTGGTTCGCTGCAGCTTCACCTGAGCCGAGGAAAAACAAACACTGTGATCCTGCAATAACGTTTCAGCAGGGAGATCCACTGCAAATGTACAAAACCTCACAGGATTATTATCAGAACAGCATAAAGTCACTGCTGTGCAGTAAACTGCAGGATGAAGCAAATACAGGGAAATTAGCCTTTATTGTACTACGCAGGCCTACATCTGCCATCCAGGACTATTTGTAACAAAAATGTAAGTGTAAAAAAATATTAAAATTTAAAATACAAAAATAATAATATAATTGAATAATTTAAAAAATATTTTAAATTCTGTGAATGATTCGTAGAACGTAATATATAAACATTGCATAATTGAAAACATATACAATAAAATAAATTAAATATAGGCCACAAAATAATAGAAATGACGTGGTAACAGGGTCTTGAAGCCTAGATTTGAACTTACAATAAGGAAAATTAATAGTGAAAATAGTATAAAATTCAAAATATTTGAAATAATTCAGGAATGCCATAATTTCAATACAATAAAAATAAAAATATATACAAGTGATATTTTCAAAACAAATGATAGAACTAAAATACAAACAAAAAAAGTTTAAATAAAAAAATAATTTAGTATATTAGCTATTTAAAATATTAACAATATATATATTAAACTAAAAATATATAAGAAAAATATACATTTAATGGATATACAAATTAAATGTACAAAATAAAATGTACACAGTAGCATAATACTAGCTGAAATACTAATTTAAAAACTAAATACAAAATAATAAAAAAGATTTTAAAAAAATAATTCAAGAAAGCTAAATATAAACAAAGGTTGTACAATAAATGAAGTAAAATGTAGAAATGATGCAGGAACATAATTAAAATTAGAATTTAACAGTAGTCCCAAATATTAAAACTCAATGATAATAGGGAGTGGTGGGTCTGTGTACACTCGCTTGTAGACAAGAGGAGGCAACAACAATAGTCAGTGATAACATCAAAGCAAAGCAATGAAAAATGAGCTTATACATACACTCTCCAATTTCTAGCTCTGTGCTCTTTACAGAGCCAGCTATCGATCGAGTACTTGTATGTGTGTGTGTGTGTGTGTGTGTGTGTGTATGATGACTGTTGACATTAATTTCTCTCATGCACAGAGTCTATAAATAGCTGATACCTAATATTCCCCCACTGATTTGAGAATCGGAGCCTGCAGGATGACTGATGCAGAGATGTGTTGTAGAAGATGGTGAGTGGAGAAGGAAGAGCAGGAAGAAGCTTGTGCTGAGAGGGAGGAGAGTATGTGTGTGTATGTGTGTGTATGTGTGTGTGTGTGTGTGTGTGTCCAGACCCCCCCCCCCTTTCTCCTTCAGATTACATAACCAGCAAACAGAGAGTATGGCAGTCACAGTATAGACTCAGCTGAGAAGACGAGCAGCAAAACAACAGAGAGCTCCGAGCTGCGGCTTTCAGACTCTATTTAGACATTTACACTTAGAAACAACACACATATATTCTACAGTAGGTTAATGTGCCTGTTCTGTTAACGATGCATATGGTTTAGTGATCAGATTTTACACTAATCCTGCAATAACTCTACAGGGTCTTTTAGTTTATTGTACCATTTTGACATTTCATGGCATTTCTTTTCTCTTGTCATATAACTGATACATATAATTTAACCATGGTGCTGAAAATATACTATAATGCTGCCAACTAGCTCAGACAAGCAGAGTATTACAGTTATGTAATATTTACTTTACTGTGCTTTATTGCTACATTATTGTAGCATGTGGCAGTGGCTCCTAACCTGTTTGACCCAAGGCTATATTAAAGGGGCAACTGCCTAGGGGGAGGGGCCACAAAAGCCACTGGTTCATCCATCTCCACTGGTTTTGACACTTTGATTTAATGCATATATGTTCAGGGTTGTGCATTGTTAGCTAATTAATTGGCCCTGTCTTGAGCCATCAAAATACAACCCATAGGGGTGTTGTCTAGTCTATGCTCAAAAACAACTTGGTTTGATTTAGGGAAAGCTCATGGCTTGAGTTAAGATAAGTATTTTGTTAAGATTAAAGGTTCTTTGACATCATGGGTGCAAAAATAAACACAGGGTTAAGGTTATAGAGCAACTGTGTTCATGGTTAAAAGACACAACGATGAATATCGGTTTGAGACGGGAAAGAAACGGCGGTCTCTCATGTGAAGATCCAGTGTTTTGTCGACCCATCCGTAAGTTTTAAGTTTATATAGTGAACCTTTTAGTTGCTGGATTACACATCCAACAGTAACTGGAGCAACAGTTTTGTTTGTGTTTTAGCTCTGTTTTTGGCCTCCACTGAAATCGCTCCTGAGGGAAATATCTGGTTCTTTAGCTGCTAAATGCTTCACTTTGTTCACCAGCTGGTCTCTAAATTTGTCTGTCTGCCATTTGTAGCCGAGCAGGTAGAGTACAGTGGGTTTGTCAGAGGTTTATCATTGATAAATTGCATCGTGGGGCTGAAAACGCTGCTTCGAGAGCGGCGAGAGTGAACCATAACAATAAAATTGCGTTTAAAGCTATGGCCATGACGACTGATGGTACCAAGTTGGACCAGGTCTGTTCCAGTCTGGGTCAGCTGGTTTTGACGGTGGTCAGACAAAATCATATAGTGTGTTATATGTAAATATTTTTATCTTCAAGTCTTCAGATCCAGTTGCTGCCAGTTGTTCACATAAAGATATTTTAAACATGTTTGATATTTGCGGCTGAAATCAGTTTTGTGTTGCCCAAGGGAGACCACCCACCTCCAGTTCCCTCTGTAGACTATACTGTCCCATACGCCTCTCCATCCAAGATCTGACCAAAACCAAAGCGCTTTCTTTCTCCTTTTTGGCCTTTGCACTTCATATAAACACTGCAAGCTGCTGGTAGCCGTCCATGTTTGTTTTGGTACAAGGACACGTCACAGTTGGCGTGGTGTCTGCAGGGTCTGTAGGGTCGTCTGCCTCCAGAAATCCAGTCATTACTGACCCGTGCTTCAGTGTTTCGTCTGCTCAAGTCTTAAGGTTTTTGCTCTTTCTTGACTCTCTCAGACTGAGCTGGCGGAAACACTGCTCTGACCAGTCTTTGCAGCTTCCAGCTCGTCTTCAGGCTTGTCCCAAGCTTATCACCTACAAGTGACATTCTCTGCTTTGACATTGTTTTAACAAGACTCATAAGAAAAAAAAAGAAAATAAATCTTTAAACACAGATTGTATGAACTCAAACGTGGAGTGAGTTGAGAGAATCCCTATAAATATCTTACAGTGCCCCTCAAGGGAACTGTATATTAAAATTTTTAATCAAAAGTGACTATATAGAGACCTTGTGCACATTATATTCTTACAGTATTTAAAAAGTTCCTGAAATATCCCTTCAGGGATCCATAGTGGCACTCTGTCGTGAGGATATCGTGACCTTATTCTACTTTCTCGACATTTTTAGTCTCCTGTGGTACTGCTGTACACCTATCATAATTCTCATAACATTGAAATATTCATAAGGAGCTGTGATTCGTCTGCAGTACTCAACAGTGACTTCACAGTGACCTTGTTGCGTTTCACGGTAGTTCGGACTTAGTTTGGTTTTTATCCAGAAGAAAATGATCAAAATAAGGGAAACAATAGAATAAGGAGAAACTATTTATCTCTCTGATCCTGTTGATCCTTGACTGGAGGTCATAGGTCAGTTTATGTATCACTACATCTATTGTCAGATCTACTCCTCTGTGTAGTTTGTTCACCATCTCAGCTTATAGCTTTTTCATGGTTGACACATCTTATTTAAACGTGTGGGGGAGTCTCAAAATGCACAGTCTGTTTGTTTAAAGTCAGAGAGGCTTCCGTGCCTGGAATAGTTAACACAAATTTGAATTTAGAAGCGGAAAGCAGTCTAGCAGCGAGGCAGCACACCGGAAAGAAAGAGTGGGCGGTCAGATACATTTACCTCCAACCCTGAAGAAGATCTGGGTTCAGTTTCCATTTGGAGAGAAATGATCAAGCTCAGAATTAGTTTTGAACGAAAACCTCAGGATAACATTAACAGTCTGTTTGACCTTCAGCTCTAACTAAGTCTGATCATGTCACTATGTCATTTCACAGAATATTGTGGAACTGTGTGGACATTTTGGTTGTGCAGGACCAAAAGCCACTGGTAAATCTGAACTCCTGCAACAAATATCCAGTTTAAAGCAATAGAATGAAATAGCACCCCTATGGCAGCAGGCATTCAGGACCTTGATTGTCATGGTTACAATAATAAACACGCGGACTGTACCGAGAGTGATGTACCGGACCTTCATCGCCATGGTTACTATAATAACGGTCATGGCTTGGTTAGGTTACTGTAGTTTTTACTCCACTGTATTTATCTGACAACTGGAGTTACTTGTTAGGTTCAGATTTTATGTTTAACATGAGATAAGATCATAAAATATCCCTGCTACAGCAAAACTCTCCATTCCAAAATGTGTAATTCAGCAAGTGCTTATTTCATAATCGATGAATCAGTCAGATAAAAAAAAACATGCAAATTACATTTTCACAGAGGGGATATCTTTATATTTCTTGTAAGTTGCATGCTTGAAACTTGACTTGAGACTCATCCTTGAAGGACTTTTGGGAGATTGAGGTTTGGGACTTGTGAACAATCTTTATTTTTTTATTTTTTGACGCATTAACATTGAAATATCTGGTGTGCTGAATTCGGATGTCATTTCCTCATAGGGCGAGAGAGGGTGGCTGTCATCTCCCTCACTTCTGCCTCCCAGAGAACTACACTGAGACTTGACTTGGACTTGAAAAAACTTAACTTGTGAGCATC